TCCCACACTCCTATTTATTGTTTTTCCCCAGGTTCCCATAGAAACCCTTGTCTGTGGGCCTGGCAGGAAGCCACTGTGTTGTTGTGTTGGGTTTTTTTAATATATAAATGAAGTCATTCATTAAACTCTGCCATGATCTCCCTCCCTTGTGCGACAGCTCCAGATAGTCTCTGATTCAGAAAGGCTCTTAACCCCCGCTCGCCCAGATCGCCCCAGTTACAAGAAGCAAGGTCCACGTCTATGCCAGAACAAATTAGATTTCAGTTTAATTCCTTCCCCAGCTCCTCCAGCTCCTCAAGAAGCCACTGCAGAGGCAGAGCTGCACCAAGCCCCCGGCTTGGCCAGGGTACCTGAGGGAGCCCAGACGGGGGTCCCCTCCAAACCACGCGAGCTTTCCACCGTGCGAGAGCAACGTTAGTTGGCAGCTCTTTCTCTTTCTCAGTTGGATGTGACTAACTCTCTCCCCATGACCTCACCGGCTCGCTATTCTGTCCCTGCATCCTCTGAATGGGCTGAGGACAGCGCTGGGGGCGACTGTTTTGGGGAGAAGGGTTTTTCTGCAAAAGCAGGGAAATATCTTTCCCAGCTCCCTTTGTCGCAGAGCAAACCTGCCTCTGAGTTGCCCGCCGCTGTACTGGGATGCGGCTTAAACACACTGAGCATTGCGGCAGGGCTGCGATGCTGGGAGCTCCATACCTGCTCCTCTCAGGAATAAGGGCTGCAGATAAAGCTCCCACCGAGCCCCTGCTCACCCTGGGTTCAGAAATATCACCGCCCTCCAGCAAACACCTAAAACCAGTTTATTAGTGGATTCAGAGCTCGCTTTCATGTTCAAACAGGCTGGCGGCAGAGCAAGGTTTAATAAGCGATGCTTTGGAGTCACACAAACAAGCAGAAGGAAAAGGACAATTCCTTTTTGACTGACCTAGCAGCAAAAATATTTGTCTTCCGTGAAAAACAAACAAACAAAAAATCCCCAAACAAATGAGAAACTAAACCTTGCCAAAGTCCTTGCGTTTGGGTCAGCTACAAGGGTTTGTTGGACCGCAAACCAAATGTGCCATTTCAATTTGGACAAGCCCAAGCCTTCAGTGTGAGGAGGGAGTCAGCTGGTAAATTGCCTTTCAAAGCAAAAAGGTGGAAAGATTTAATTTCCAAATGGTTCTGTTTTCTAAGAAGGGGCCGTGGTCTCTCATTTGCTCTAATTGCTCACAGTCACATTCAGTAACTCAGCCCACAGCAGTATTGCACAACCATCTTTCCCATTTCTAGAAATAATTACCCAGCACTTCAGGATCAGGCCAATACCGCATACCTCTGCCTTCACCTCTGGCCAGCACTTTCCCAGGTCAGTCCCAGGCTGGGGAAGTTTCGGGAAGAAGCAGGCTCATAGCTGCTGGTGGGACTGAAAGCTCCCCACTTCATTTCACCCAATGCAGAACAGGGAAATGGAAATCAAGAAGACTTGAAGCTTGAAGATTTGCAAGTTGAGCTACAGCATGCTACACTCCTGCACCCAGTCACCTGCCTGGATAGAGGGGTTTTCCTGCAAGGTGAAAGGAAATTCACCCCTTCACACAAACATTAGGGGGACTGGAGAAAGAAGGGAGGATGGAGAGACCGCTTTGCTGCCCCAGCAGCCAGGAGCCATAGGCAAGGCTTGCTCCGGCAAGACCTCATCATGGGGCCGGGTTGTTTCTCTTATGCAGTCCCTACATCTCTGCCAACAGCTTTTGGAGGTCTTCGTTTGGGGCAAAACACTCTTTGTGGAAGGGGTTTATCTCTTCCTGAAGAGATCCTGCAGGTCTAGGGAAGGGCTGAAAGCACCTCGGTTCAGCTTTGGCCACGGAGTCACAGCTTGCCAAGTGTCTGGGATGCTTAGACTTCTGCTCTGACCGGGGCCAGCTGCCCATTTCAGATCCAGCTCTTGACTTCAACTCCCTCTGGACCCCCAGCCAAGGGAGGGTTTTATTTCCATTTGCCCTACAAAACACCTCCTCCTCCCGCAGAACAATGATGCAGGCTGCGCCGTTCCAAATGGCCACAAACGCCCGCTCCAGACAAGCCAGCGTTGCTGGAAAGGTCACGTTTCCTTTGGGCAATTCCTCATCAGCACTTGAGGAGATTATAATATTCAGGCAAGGGATATTTCTGGCACCAGATGAGCTGCGTTTAAGGGAAACGCTGCAGACTCAAGCAGTCTTTTGCATGGCCAACGGCTCAAAGGAAGCTTTGCTGGCCCAAACCCAACCTTCAGCACTAAAGCTAATTCCAGAAAGGAAAATTAAATGCCTCCCAGAGGCTTTGGACTTTGCAGACCTGCACCAGAAAAACTCAGGAACCCTCTACCCGCGCACTGGACATTCCTGTCTCCTGCGCTCGCCAGGGTATCGGGCCAGGATGGTGTTGACTTTGGTCACTGCCTGTGTCCAAAGTCTCTCAGAGCCAGGGTTCATGGGGGAAGAGGTTTTGGGAACAGGGTTTAGGAGGAGCCATGCGCAACCCCTGGCATGAAGGCTGCTGTTTCCCAGAGGGCATATAGCCTGTTGACCCAGTGCAAATTCTGTTGCCATCAAGGGTAAAGCTCTCATTACCTGCGAAAGCAACAATGTCTACCACTGCTGAAAATATCACCCACAAGAGATGGGACTGCATGAACTAGAGCAGAACTGGGAAGGGTACCCTGTATCCCCCAGCAGCCATTCCGTTGACCTCTCTGTTGAGGTTAGGGGAAAGGGGGATGCCAGAAACCTGTGCAAGGGACCTTCCCCTTCCCATATAATCCATCGCAGCCTTGTCACAGCCTCAGCCCTGTCCAAAGGCAGCCAGATACAATATCGGTGCCCTGCTGCCCATCAGGGAGAGAGATCACTCAGCATACTCAGGGTAACTCTCTCTCACTGCCATCCAGCAACCAGCTACCAAAGTTGGCTAAGCAATATAAACCAGAACATGGCCTAGGACCATCAACAAGTTCATCGGGCTGCCGAGCAGAGCTGCCGGGCTTTATTTCATATTGCATTTATCACCCGTTTATAAAGGGCCCAGACATGATTGGCAGGGGTACTGAGATGTGCAGCTCACCCTCTCACATGAAATAGAAGAGGACACACTCAAAGGGCTACAGTGGAGCAACTCCCTCACCCATTTGACCTTCCAACAACAAATTAATCACTTATTAATCTCTTATAAACGGCATATAATGGATCTGTGTGACTGAGTCAAGTATGCTGAAATAGCCAGATAATGCCTCTGCTCACGTCATTCAGGACAACTGGCATCAGGCCACCGCAGAAGTCATGGCTGAGGACATTTGCACGCAACACACGGTCATGCTGCCATGGCTCAGTTTCTCTCCATCCCTGCAAACCACATATGCCCTGGCTCAAAGGCAGTCCTAGGGGATGCCTCACACTTACAGGCACCAGTGTTAGGCATCACACAGTTCAGCATCTCAGCCCTTTCCAAAGATCCCTCTAAGTCCCGGGTTTACCTCCACGTATCAAGACACCTTCAGGAACCTGTCCCTAAGCCCAAGGGCTTGTCCAAAGTCACCACAAAGCCAGGAAGATGTAGGGAATGGAGCAGAATTCCAGCTGGCATCCCGACCCCCTGATTACCGCTCTGCCCAGAGGCTGCTCTGAATGCCAACAACCACGGCTGTTGAGACGAGGGACATGGGCTGGCAAAGCGTCTACAGTATGGCCATCACTGAGTCAGACGGCAGGCAACAGTTATGCTTCTTGATGGATGGGTTTCTGTGACTTAGGAGTAACGTGGCTTGATAGCAAAGACTACAGCTAGGTAATCATCCCACTGGATAAGGAAGGGGGGTGTGGATAGCGGTACGATACAGGGAGACTGCGAAAAGAAATAAAATCAAAAATTATTATGTCACAGCCTGGAGTTTATTGCCACCTAGTCTCGGGGGAGATGGTTATCTTAGCTCTGAAAGATCGGCTTGTCAGTCAAAGGCAGCCAGAGATGCTGCACAAGCCTCTCCCTCCCATACATTCATGTAATTCCTCAGCTGCATTGCTCCGTTCAGGGTCCAGGCTACAGAGTTTGAACAAGAAGGGGGGCAGGGGGAAGAGGAAAAAAATGTGTATATATGCTTCACCCTCAGCCTTTTTCTCATACCAAGCTTCCCCACCCCACCTGTAGCTGCACTATCTCAGTCACGTCTCCCTGTTCCTCCTATAAATCACAGCTCGCCTTCAAGATGCAAACAGCAGGGTAGAGCCACTTCACACCCAGGGGTGGCCGCAGAGCCTGTCCCCACTGACCCACTGGAGCTGGAGGGGTGCAGAAAGGCATCACGCATGGGGTAATAAGGACATGCCAAGGCATCTGAACAGAATATGATATGGCCCAAACTTTCATTGAGCAGAAATGGAAGAAAAACCACGTGCAGCACAGCAGAGACCTATCTACCCCTTAAAAATGAAAGCAACTCTTCTTTTTTAAATGAATCTTGGGTTTTCTCCACAAAAGCACATCCCATTTCTACCTAAAGAAGGATGTGCAGATGTGCAGCCATGCATCCACAGGTGCCAGGTATAAAACTCTGCCTGGTTTAGCCTTCATTATATTCCCTGCAAAGATTGACCTGTCACTGTGGCATGATGGGCAGGGAAAACCCCAAGCTGGTAATTTACAGCTTCCACAAGCAAAACGAGAGACATTTGAGAAAGCTGGTGGCAAATGGCAGGAGCAAACCTCAGAGGAGGGATGTGGGCAGGGCTGGTCCTTCAGCACGAGCCTCGTCTGTTCCCTCCTGCCTCTCACAGGATGGCGGCTCCAGAAAGGCACGTGGGATGGTCTGTGCTTCCAGATGCCGTGGGTGATGTAAAGGCCACTCTTAGAGGCACGAGGCAGCCGATGGGAACGACCGCTTCTTTTTATTATTATTATTCGTTTTAATCATGGCAG